TTCCTTTGTAAGAATTCTTTAAATATTCTGATATGGGTCTGTTGTTAGATATATATGTATTACACCTACTTTCCCTTATGTGTAGCTTCTCTTTTCTCTCAATGATTTTTGGTGAACAAAGTTTCCATTTTAATGGCATCTAACTCATCATTTTCCCTCATTTATAATTATTGCTACTTAAATCTTTTTTTAACCCCAAAGTTGTATCTGTTTTTAAGATAGTCCACAGAGACATTATGGAAAATGCTTTGATAACATGGCTTTAGAGTTGTGTGTCTCATAATTGAATAAATTTAATGCCTCCCATTATCTCCCTACAGTGAAAGAGAAAAGCATTTTAGTATTCTAAAGTAGGAAATTTCATACAAAAGCTATAGAATACTATCTATTTTAAAATACATGCTTAAGGGATCAGAGCTCAAGTTCGTACTGAAATAATTTCCTAGTCTCATTGAAATGCAAAATGAAATAAGTTATCAAATTTTGGTAGTTCAAAAGGCAAAGTATATAGACAGTAAATTACTGATTATTATTTAAACTTTTGAAAATATTTTTGAACTGTAAATGTAAACTTAATAGATTGAAAGGAGGCACAGAAGAGTGTGGAACGGGTGCATGAGGCTGATTGTGTAGGGCTTTATAGATCATTATAAGATCGTTGGCTTTTATTCTGAGATAGAGCCATGAGAGGATTCTGAGCAGAGGAGTGATGTGGTCAGAGAGGGTTGTTCCTACTGTTGGCATGAAAAAGAGACTAAGTAGGAGCAGGGAAATTGGGAGACTCTTGTAGCAGTCTGGGTGAGAGATGATGGTAGTTTGATCCACAATGGGAGCAGAGGAAGTAATGAGAAATAGTTGGATTTTAAATGTATTTTAAAGGTAAAGTCAGATACTGGAGTATAAGAGGAAGAGATGAGCCAGAGATTATAGTAAATCTTATATTTATTTTTAATGTGGGGGGAGTACCTAACTTCAAGTTTTTATAAAAAAAATGATTTGTGGATTATTTTAATGTTTTGGAAAATGCCTATAATAATCTTAGTGAAGAAGCAAAGGTATAAAATTATTATATGTAGTACATTCTGTTTAAAATTACATATCATACATTTACCAAAAAAAGAGTAAAAAGTCCAGATTATTTTTTTTTTTTTTTAATTTTTTTTTCAACGTTTATTTATTTTTGGGACAGAGAGAGACAGAGCATGAACGGGGGAGGGGCAGAGAGAGAGGGAGACACAGAATTGGAAACAGGCTCCAGGCTCTGAGCCATCAGCTCAGAGCCTGACGCGGGGCTCGAACTCACGGACCGCGAGATCGTGACCTGGCTGAAGTCGGACGCTCAACCGACTGTGCCACCCAGGCGCCCCAAAGTCCAGATTATTAAAATGTCAAGTGGTTATTCCTCTTGAGTGATAGAGTTACAGGTGATTTTTATTTCCTTCTTTATACTTGTCTATAATTGGGATATCTGTCAGGAGAAAAAACCCATATTATAGAAAAATATTTTATTACTAATCCTGAATTGAAGCATAATGTTCATTTACTCATCGTGCTATATAAGCAGAAGGCATGGTTTACTACTTGGCACACTAAAAAAGAAAAAAAATTCTTGTGGATAGCTGTCCACTTATCTCTTTTGTAAAAACAGAATTATCCCAAAACTTAAGGGTACTTAAATGCATCTGACACTGTGCTTAGAATGTATAATAGGCTATCAGTAGAAGTCATTATGTTTACCTTCATAAAGAGTTGCCTTCCACCATGAGAGTTGGCATAATAACTATTTCCAACGTAAGTGATGGCAGTAGGTCTTTGCCAAGAGAGTTAGCTTATTAATAGCCAGGATAATGCTTGTCATCTTGAGAGTGCTTTCTCAAGATCACTTTCTTACTTTTCTTTATCACAAGATAAACTATAACCTAATAACAGACCTAACTAATAACCTTGCCCTAGTAACTATGGCTGACCTTTGTTCTAACCAGGTAAGCTAGATCAGTTATAAGAAATCACTGGGGGTGCCCAGGTGGCTCAGTCCGCTAAGCATCCTAACTCTTGATTTTGGCTCAGGACCTGATCTCACAGTTCTTGAGATCAGAGCCTGCTTGGGATTCTCTCTCTCTCCCTCTCTCTCTGCTCCCCCCTAAATTAATAAACTTAAAAAAAATTGTTGGGGTTTGTCACATCAGAGAAGCATTGTGGTATAATAGAAATTAAAAATGGTAAATCAGGGCATCTGACTTTGGATCTCATTCTTATTTTTTTTTAATTGATGTAAATTTCACATAACATATTTACCATTTTAACTATTTAAAGTATACAATTTAGTAAACATTAAAAAAAAGAGGGAGCATTTGGGTGACTTAGGCAGTTAAGTGTCAGACTCAGGTCATGACCTCGTGGTTGGGAGAGTTCGAGCCCTGCGTTGGGGTCTGTGCTGACAGCTCGGAACCTGAAGCCTGCTTCAGATTGTGTGTGTGTGTGTGTGTGTGTGTGTGTGTGTGTGTGTGTGTGTGTGTGTGTGTGTGTGTCTGTCTGTCTGTCTGTCTGTCTGTCTCTCTGTCTTTCTCAAAAAATAAATATAAACATTAAATAGTAATAAAGTATACTTTTCATAATGTCATGCAACCATCATCACTATCTAATTCTAGAACATTTTCATCACCCCTAAAAGAATTCCCATATTCATTAAACAGTCACTCCTCATTCCCTCCTTCCCTTAGAACCTGACAATCACATATCTGTTTTCTGTCTGTACGGATTTGCTTATTCTGGAGATTTCATTTAAATGTCATAATGCATATGATCTTTTGTTTCTGGCTTCTTGCACTTAACATAATGTTTTCAAGGTTCATCCATGTCACCCATGTTGGAGAATGTGTTAGTACTTGATTCCTTTTTATGGCTAAATAGTATTCCATTGTATGGATATTCCATATTTTGTTTCTTCATTCATCAGTTCTTGGACATTCGGGTTATTTCCATTTTTTGTGGAAACATTTGTTTTTTTGTTTTTTAATTTGAGATAGAGAGAGTGCATGTGCAAATAGGGTAAAGGGGCAGAGGGAGAGAAACAGAATCTCAGTCAGGGTCCACACTGAGTGTGGGATTGTGACCTGAGCTGAAATCAAGAGTTTGACACTCAACTGACTGAGCCACCCAGGTGCCTCAAAACATTTGTGTTTTTATTTGGAGATTTGTGTGCAAGTTTTTTATTTGAACACCCATTTTTAATTTTCTTGGATACCTAGGAATAGAATTGCTGGGTCCTTTGGTAATTCTGTGTTTAGCCTTTTGAGGAATCACCAAATACACTAAGTATTTTTAGACCTCAGTTCTAGCATCTCTGAAATGTGGAGGTTTACTCATTTAGAAAATACTTATTGGGGTACCTGGGTGGCTCAATCGCTTAAGCGTCTAACTCGGTTTTGGCTCAGGTCATGATCTCTTGGTTTGTGAGTTCAAGCCCCATGTCGGGCTGTGCGCTGATGGTGCAGAGCCTGCTTGGGATTCTCTCTCCCTCTCTCTCTGCCTCTCCCCCACTCGTACTTTATATCTCTCTCTCTCTCTTAAAATAAACTTAGAAAAAAATTTCTTGAACACTTACTGTAGGCCAAGCAGTGTACTAGACACAAGGGATCCTTTTATGGAGTTTATTATTTGGTTAGGGTTAAGAGAGCATAAAGGCAGATATTAAACACATTATACAGATAACTTTTTAATAAAAATTATGGCAGATTTTATTAAGGGGATATGTGTTAGGTGCCATGAGAGCTGAGAGGGAACTGGTGTGGGTAATTGTCAGAAAAAGCCTCCTTTTTCTGTGAGGCAATATTTCTTAGCTGAGTTAAAAAATAATAATAATATAGCATCTAATATTTATTGAGTGTTTACTATTTGCCAGGCACTGTTCTAGTTCACAACTCCTCATTTCTGCTATCCATTTCACAGATGAGTAAACAGAAATGGAGAGGTCAAAGAGCTTACCCTCATTTCATAGCTAGTAAGTTGTAAAACAGTAGTCAAAGCTAGGCTGTTCCAATTCAGAGCCCACCACGATATTCTTCTTTCCTTTTAAAGAGAGGTAGCTGTATGCAAAAGCCCCTGAAGAAGGGCAATACTCACCAGAATTCTGTTCCAATACTCACCAAATTCTGTTGAAAGAATACAGATGTGACAGGAGTACGCTGAAAGAGGAACAGTACAGGGTGGGGTCTTGTGGAAGGCAAGCAGTGCCATAGAAGCTCAAGAATTTGATGGGGCCAGATTATACAAAACCTTTTTGTTTGTTTAAAATACTTAATGAGGTTAGACTGTGTTTGTGTTTTGATAGTTTTTACTGGTTTTGTCAGTGGTTAACTCTTTCTGTTTTAACTATTTTCTTTAAACACGGGAATGTTTACCATTAAGACTAATAAAACTTAAGTTTCAGGATGGGTTACTATGAGTTCTAGAAATTGTTACGAATATATAAAGTGTTCTAGGTGCATAATGGAAGCCACGTTGCAGTCAGTAAACATTTCTGGTAAATTACTAACAGATCTCAGAAGAAGGCCCTTAAATTTATATATAGCAAAACCTGGATCCATTTCTTAACATTCCTGTCAGCATCTCTTATTTCACACACTGATTTTTGGGAGGGGTCTGAAGGAAGCTGGCTGAGAATTGCTGTCCTAAGGCAAGATATCAGAGTAAGAATACTCTGAAAAGGGCCTAAAGTTGGCAATAGTTACTCTGTCATCAGACTGTAATAAAGTGGGTAAAAATGGACTTTCGTGTATAGGAAACATGGGAATCGGGGGTCTACCAAAATAAAACTACAGAAACTTGGAGATTGTTGTCTTGATTTCTACAGTTACATTTGTTGATAGTCTATATGCATTTGAGTATATTCAGTTTAGGGTAGTTTTTAGAGCTGCAGCATTGAAATTTTATTTTGTAAATGTGGAAAAATACTCTTGGCTGAAAACATCCTAATAAACTATTTTTATTCTTCTTCTCAGGCGCCTGATCACAGATTCGAAAGTTAAATTAAAGTATCAACATTTAATAACAAATAGCTTTGTAGAGGTAAGTGATTTCTCTTCAGGTTACCTTTTTAAATAAGCGGAATTATTTATTAATAAAATATTTTTTCTTGTATGAAATTCTCTTGATAGTAAGAAAGACCTTTACCATAAATTTAGATTATGGACTTCATTAATGAAGCATACCTAACCCGTATTCTCAAAGGAGTGTGACAGACCAATAAGTGGGTGTCTCTTCATAGATCTAGAGCTGTGGTGATCAAATTATTTTTACAGTATTCTTCCTTTATCCCTAGCAAAAAATTGTAGCTGACTGTTAATGATGACTTGTTTAATCATGTCTGGCAGTTTAACCTTGCTATATCTCTGCTTGTTTTAGCTCCTGTTACCAGTAAACTTTAATAAAGAGAGCTATAGTTACTTGTTTTTATCAAATGTCTTTCTTTTATCAGAAACAGGTCAGCAAACTATGGCCTGCCTGTTTTGGTAAATATTTATTTGGATGAGCCCATTTGTTCTATGACTCCTTTAGTGCCACAGTGGCAGATAGAGTAGTTGCATAGAGGCCCTTTTTGACCCTCCCAGACAAAAATCTTTACTCTCCGGCTCTTTATGGAAGACGTTTGCCAGCCTCTGTATGAGATCATCAGTGTAAATTGGTATTTTAGTTCTACATAGTAATATTTATTTCACTTAGGGATTAAACTGAAGGTCAGATCTTCTAGAAAACAGCATATTTTAGGAATAACATTTTTTAAATAGTAAACTTGAATTCCGGTGTAGAGTGTTACTTGAACCCTGTTTTGTTTCCTGATAAAAAAAAATACCCAAAGGTTTTACTTTTTTTTTTTTTTAAGAACTAAAATGCAATCTTTACCATGGTTTAGGAACTGACTTTTGTTCTTAGAAGACTTTTTTTATGGTCAAAGAAAGAAATTACATATATATTCTGTAGCATCTGAACACCTTCCCTGGGGCACTTTGCTGGTCCTGTCAATAGAGCATGCGACTCTTGATCTCGGGGTTGTGAGTTTGAACCCCATGAAGGGCATGGAGATTACTTAAAAAAAATAATAAGTAAAAAGGGGGAGAGGCCCCTGGCTGGCTCAGTCATGCAAGCGTATGCAACTCTTGATCTTGGGGTTGTGAGTTCGAGTCCCCATGTTGGATGTAGAGATTACTTAAAAAAATAATAAAATCTTTAAATACCTTCCCTCCTTCCCTGAGTAGGAGTTCATCTTGTTTCCTTACATCTTTGAAAATTACCCTGAAGTAGAACCATAAACAAATCAATGTTTCTTAATAAAATGGGTAATTATTTAAAAAAAAAATTTTTTAACGTTTATTTATTATTGAGAGGCAGAGACAGAGCATGAGCAGGGGAGGGGCAGAGAGAGGAGGAGACAGAGAATCCGAAGCAGGCTCTAGGCTCTGAGCTGTCAGCACAAAGCTTGATGCAGGGCTTGAACTCAGGAACTGTGAGATCATGACCTGAGCTGAAGTCAGACGCTCAACCGACTGAGCCACCCAGGTGCCCCAAATGGGTAATTATTTTAAAGTTTGTGGGTAGGATTTTGATGATAGAACCATATTTTATGCATATTTTATAAAACCAAGTCTCTGAGAGATCTTGGAAAAACTGTGCATCTGAGAGCATTACTGTAGAAGACTACTAAATATTGGAGGCAGGCTTTTATATGCTTCTGTCATCATCCCTGTCTTTGGCCCCCACACTAGGGAAGCATTGTAAATAATTGCTTGTTGTGCTAGGAAATCACAAATCGTGATTTAATTTGCCATCGTTTTTTATTTTCTAACTTGGGTTTCAGTGCAATCGACTGTTGAAGTGGTGTCCTGCCCCAGATTGCCACCATGTTGTTAAAGTCCAATATCCTGATGCTAAACCTGTTCGCTGCAAATGTGGGCGCCAGTTTTGGTAAGCAAGTGATTTACTAAATTGAAATAGTACACATAGCTGTTCTGTTTATTCTTGGTAGAAAAATAATAGAATTTTTTTTTTTTTTTTTTACCTCAGGGAGGGAGGTGGGTGATGTTGATTTAAGATAGTGTATATTTCTTTTAAATAAGAATTAGATTAAAAGGTCGCATCTTCAGTAATTTTTTCTTTCCTAGTTGCTCTTTTTTCTTATGGGAAAAGAAGCAGCTATAATCACATTTTCTTGTGTGCTCTGCTGGAACTAGTATATGAGCAAACTTGTAGATCTGGGGTAAGAACTTAGTTCGTCTCATTTCTGATGGACTATTTATTTTGTCAGGGTATATTTGGTTTCTTTATGGCTCTTGCTCTGTTTTCTAGTTATCTCTTAGGAAATAAAATAAACAGGATTATTTTTCCTTTACTCTGACAAGTTAAATCTTACTTCTAGAAAGAAAATACGCCTTGATAAATTTGGAAAGATAAAACATGTTTGATTACATGTGCGTTTTCACCAAAAGTTTTCCTGTGGCTTCTCTGGCCCCACCTTTCCTGGTAACCTTGGTTCTTGGAGTGTATAGCATGCTCTTTTGGTCTTTGAATTCTAGATTTGACTTAACAGAGAATTTCCAATACAGCATATTCATGTTAGAAAGTTAAGATAATTTTCCATTTCCTTGCTGGATCTTTTAGGAACAAGAAACCCATCAAACCAAGTAGCTCTAAGAGCTAGCAGATAGACATTATATTGGTATTCTATACCATTCTTTTTTTTTTTCTCTACAAGCAACTATAGAGTTAGACTTCTATGTCGTTAATACTAAATATTTCCAAAAAGAGCAGGTAACCTCACAGAGATTAAATATGTGTGAAATACATGCTATTTTGGTAAAAAAATTAAATATACATTCTAATGTAGAATTTACCCTATAAATAAGACGTGGAGTCTGATTTCATATGTATTTTGAAACATATTTTTAGTATGAAGTATCTTGTATACAGACCAAAATATAGAGAATAACAGCAGTGAATACTTAGTAGCTACTAACCCAGTTTTAAGCAAAGTATTTTGTTTTTGTTAAGAAATCTGTCAAATGAATGACAGATTCATTTGACACTCCTTTGTTCCCTTCTCCATCCCATTCGCCATCTTCTTTTCCAGAAGTAACCATTATATTTGACTTCATTTAAATTGATAGCACTTTGTTCCTCTCATTTACAAAGGATTTTTGGCATTCCTGGAAAAAATCAGCCATTCAGCTGGGGGGGGAGGTTTATAAGCATTTGAATTTATTCTTAATTTATACTTTATTTTAGCAAATGTATACACCACATTTGCCTAGAAAACAGAAAGGCATGAACAATTGATGTGTTCTTAGAGAGTGTTTAGCCACACTCTTGTTTTACACCTTGCTTGGTAAACTTTCTCTCTACAAGACTGAGGTTCATTTGTTTGTGTCATGCAAAGATGTGACCTGTTTGCTCACTGTGCATTAGGATTAAATTATATAATTCTTCATTGGGGGTGTTAAGTAAGAGATTTAATATATACTGATGAAGCATTGGTTGAAATTTAAGTTTAAATTAGTGAAAATTATTTGTTTGGTTTCAATTGAAGAATGTTTACAGCATGGAACTATACATTTTCAAAACTATCAGAAAAATACAGATCTCGCTAAACTCAATTTTTTGTCTTAATAGTTTGGTGGCTAGAGAGTCCTTTCTTAGGAAGTTGTCATCATAGCATGTCTTCACGGCTATAATCATTTCTTCATTTCTCGCACACACCACAATACATGCTGTTCTAATGCTAAATTCTAAATAATCTGTAGAATAATATGAACTTGCCTCATGCTCTTGTATTTGCTAGTCTTTAAAAACAGTGAAACCACTGAGGAACTATAAAGCATGAAATGGGTTTGTTTGTGTACTGACTTACAGTAGGTAGGACTTAATTCTTTTAACTCTTCTATCACTTAACAGCTTTAACTGTGGAGAAAATTGGCACGATCCTGTTAAATGTAAGGTGAGTTTGTCTGGCATTTTCATTTTTTAAATAATACAATAGAGCAGTTCTAAGACTTGATGACTGAAAACTGGGGCCCACAACTTTGTTATCCATTTGTAGATAGAAAATTGTATTTTTTTCCTTTTTATTTCAAATGATCGTCACAAGTATTCATAAAGCATTCCTTACAAATAAGTCAGCTCCTGATAATTATCAGGATTAACAGTGGTTAAGGCACCTCCCTGAGCAGATTTTGTAATTTACGAAGGGGAATAATACATCTTGGAGCCGGGCTTCTCATCAAGCTCTAGGTTCCTCACTTGGCTTCAGCCAGAGAAAATCCTCCTTTGGTTGATTTTATATACACTGGATATGAGAACTACCAGAGTCCCTTGGTTTAAGAGGAATTAAATCCAGTGATAATCTTGTCCTTTGCCTTTTAAATGTAAGCTTGACTATATTTAAATATTGAAGTAATTTGCTATCCTTTCTCTTAAGTCTTTTGTTGTACCCTAACAGTTGTTGTTTTCAAACAGTGGTTAAAGAAATGGATTAAAAAGTGTGATGATGACAGTGAGACCTCTAACTGGATTGCAGCCAACACAAAGGTTGGTATTTCACTTCAGTAAACTCTTGGTAATGAAACTGTGATAAGCATAGGAGCCTTGGCATTAGCAAAACAAGTAAGTTTCCTAATTAGGGATGGGAACTTGTTTTACCTTTTCCTCAGTTCAGATTTGGGGGTTTTTTGGTTGTTTTGGGGATTTGGGTTTTGGTTGTTTGTGTTTTTCCAGAATGATTGCCGATTTTTAGTGTTTGAGTTTATTTTATTGAGCACTATACTGCAGTATAGTACTCTTATTTGGAAATTTTTGTCCATTAGGACACAGTTTCCTATAGAAGAAGAAGTTGACAGTTTTTCTACCTGAGAGTTTGATGATGCTTTTTTATATTGTTATTACCTGCCTTTTAGTATATAGAGTTTATTCCACCTAGCTTGGTTTTATTAGGCAAATTTACATTTCTGCCTTTAAAAACTCCCAGGGTTTGGTGTGCTTGGCTGGCTGTCAGTAGAACACACAACTCTTGATCTTGGGGTCGTGAGTTCAAGCCCCATGTTGAGTTTAGAGGTTACTAAAAATAAAATAAACCTTAAAAAAATTCCAGGGTTTAACTTTTAAGGAGTCGTTTTTTTTTTTTCTTTCTTTTTAAGATTTTATTTTTAAGTAATCTTTACACCAAATGTGGAGCTTGAACTCAAAACGCTGTGTTCAAGAGTCACATGCTGTACTGACGAGCCAGCCAGGTGCCCCTCCTTACGGAGTCATTCTTTAAAGCAGTATTGAGAGTAACTGACTAATAACTTTTTTTTTATGTAGCTGCACTGGACTTAACATGTTTGACATCTTTAACATGTTAAATTGCTAAAATATGATTTAAGAGACTTGACTCCTGAGAAATAGAGATTTTGGGGATAATATGGGTATCCCTTGGTTTTTTGTTTTTATTTTTAAGGTACATTATTGCTCATGATATTAGTTTCAGGATACTAGTTTCAAGATTGTTCATGTCTTTATGACCATGGACCAGTTCTTTAACCCTAGACAGATGTTTTGTCTTGCAAATGGAAGTTGTTTTGAACACCCTTCTTTTTTAGCACTAAGTAATAAGCATACATTTGAATCCCAGCTGTGTACCCAGCAATCTCTTAGTAGAAATTGTATAAATAGCCAGTCTTTATTTAATTCAGCCTTATAGCCTATCTATATTGGAAGTGGCTTGCCCTTGATTATAGGGTTATTCATGGGCTATTCATTTTTAGTATTGTCTTAGATGATGCTTAATGAATACTGAGTTGTTTGACCAGCATTAGAGCTTTCCATCACTCAATCACGGGACAATTAGAAGAATAAGGAGTGTTTAGGTGCCCCTGGGTGGCTCAGTTGTTTAGGGTCTTTGTCTCAGGTCATGATCTTGTGGTTCATGGCTTCAGGCCCCACATCTGGCTCTGTACTGACAACTCAGAGCCTGTAGCCTACTTTGGATTTTGTGTCTCCCTTTCTCTCTCCCTTTCTCCCTCCCCTGCTCATGCTCTGTCTCTCTCTGTCTCTCAAAAATAAATAAATGTTAAAAAAAAAAAAAAGATTAAAAAAAAGATGTATCATGCAATTAAAAGATTTTTTTTACTGGGGATGGGGGACTAAAACATTAAGCACTTTTAACCATACACGTAGTAATACTAGTTTTACAGGAGGTAAAACATTTGTTCATGTAAATACACTCTCCAGTATCATCTAGAAATAATTATTGAGTACTCCTGTATACCACATACTGTTTGCTCTCATTGTTTTATATGCATTAACTCATAATCGTTACAGTGATCCTATTCCTATTTTCCTTTGTCAGATGAATAACTAAGGAAGAGAAAAATAATAAAAACACTAGTCTGAGATCACACAGGTAGCAATGGTAGAGTCAGGATTCAAACCCAAGCAATTTGGCCTTAAGAATAAGGTCAGTGGGATTGGTAAGACTGATAAATTCTTTTTGGGGCTACTGAGTCTCCCAGCTTTCTTCTGTCAAATACACTTGTTTTACTTATTTATTTGTTGTTGTTATTTTTAAGTACACTCTACCCTCAATAGGGAGCTTGAAATCACAACCCAGAGATCAAGAGTTTCATGCTCCACTGACTGAGCCAGTCGAATACCCCTCAAATACCCTTGTTTTAAATTCTTTTCACTGTGGTCCATTTACAACTGTGCTACAGAGATCATGGCTTTTTCCAAGTCTGTGTCATATTCTTGGTTGCCAGTGAGCTAAAGTTATTACCCTACAGCAGGTCTACTGCTTTTTTCCTTTTGGAAAATCCACAGAATCAAACATTAATTTTAATAAAACCATGAATAAGATATAAAGGTTCTATTTCCCTGCATTAGTTTGATGCCTGTAACTCCCATAAGGGGGGAGTATCACCCATTATATTACTGATAATCCTTATAGTGATTCACAATTTGACCTTTGTGAAATAACACTACCCTGCCCATAAGCTATAGTAATTTTAAATAGGTCAATATGGTAACTTCTAATTATACATTTTAAATCAAATCTTTGAAATCAATTAATATATTTCACATTTTCTCAAGAAGCAAATTCCAGGTCTAGAATATCTGTAGCTGGGGTGCCTGGGTAGCTCAGTTGGGTGAGCATTCAACTTTGGCTTAGGTCATGATCTCACAGTTCCTGAATTCAAGCCTCTGTCCCCCTACACATCCCTTCTTTCACACCTTTCCCATTTACGCTCTCTCTCAAAAATAAATAAAAAACATTAAAACAAAACATTTCTTAAAAAAATAAAATAAAATGTTTCATTCTATATTTCTTGGTCACAATTAACCAAGCTCTCAATATGTTACGATACCACTAATAATCTGCAATTTTTTTTTTTAATTTTTTTTTTCAACATTTATTTATTTTTGGGACAGAGAAAGACAGAGCATGAACGGGGGAGGGGCAGAGAGAGAGGGAGACACAGAATCGGAAACAGGCTCCAGGCTCCGAGCCATCAGCCCAGAGCCTGACGCGGGGCTCGAACTCACGGACCGCGAGATCGTGACCTGGCTGAAGTCGGACGCTTAACCGACTGCGCCACCCAGGCGCCCCGTGCAATTTTTTTTTTTAAGTTTACTTATTTTTGAAAGAGAGAGCGAGAGAGAGACAGGTAGAGAGACAGGGAGTGAGAAAATCCCAAGCAGGCTCCAAACTGTCGGTATGGAGCCTAACATGGGGCTCAAAGTCATGAACCATGAGATCATGACCTGAACCGAAATGAAGAGTCGGACGCTCACCCAAGACACCGAGGTCCCCCAATAATCTGCAAATTTGTTCAAGGAACTAATAACAATAATAAAAGCTTCTGAAATCACTCAAGAGAAAAAAACTCCAGTTTTATCTCAAAATTATCAAGCAGATAATTTTGTTATTACTAATTGTCATTCTTCCTCAAAAATCTCTCTAAACAAAGCCAAACATATTCAAGCCTATACTCCCTACTTTAAACATCTTGGAGGTTTAAGCATCTTGGAGGTTTAAAGGTTTGGGGATTTCTCTAGATGCAAAAAGAGGCCTATAGTTTAAATGAACCACTTAGTGAAAATACAACTGCCCTATTCTGAACTACTAGTTTTATAGAGCATATTCAAAGATTCAGGGACTTTAATGAACACATTAAAGTTGTTCCCTAACAACACAGAAAAGGTTTTTCTTAAGTGACATGAGTTATCTTTACCATAATTTTAGAGAGCACAAAAATATTGATTTCAACCATACATTTCTCAAAGGTGTGGGCATCTGTTTTAAGTGACAAGACTTATTGTTTCATTACTAATGCTTTCTGGGAGGTAAAAATATGTTTTAACCATTTTGGGTAGAGCAGGGTACTAATGGTATAAAATTGTGTGTTGGCCTCCATTGTTTAAATACTCCTTATCCCTTTTTTTTTTAATACTTTTTTTAATGTTTGAGTGAGAGAGAGAGAGACAGACAGACAGACAGACAGCGTGAGCAGAGGAGGGGCAGAGAGAGGGGAAGACACAGAATCCAAAGTAGGCTCCAGGCTCCGAGCTGTCAGCACAAAGCCCGACACGGGGCTCGAACTCACAAACTGTGAGATCATGACCTGAGCCGAGTCAGACGCCCAACCAGCTGAGCCACCCAGGCACCCCTCTTGTATAATACATCTTCAAAGCCAGTAATAATGATAATAGCTCATTTCCAGTAGTACTTACTGTATTCCACACTTTTCTGAGTGCTTTACATGTATTAATAACAATAAATGTGGTATTTAAAAATAAACCAAATCCAGAATTGGCTTCTCTTCGTGATAGTAATACAACCTAGTGTAGCATTGACACCAACTTTATAGTTTCTCTTCATAGGAATGTCCCAAATGCCATGTCACAATTGAAAAGGATGGCGGTTGTAATCACATGGTGTGTCGTAACCAGAACTGTAAAGCAGAGTTTTGCTGGGTGTGTCTTGGCCCTTGGGAACCACATGGATCTGCCTGGTAGGTTGGGGAAACGAAGGGGAGAAAATGTTCACATAAGTATGTAATATATGCGTATACTGTGACTAAGGTTTTACCTCATGGAAGTCACCATCTAACTTGGGAGCTAAGTAAATGAATACAGTGTGTGATCATCGTTAAAAGTACGGGCAAGATGTCTGGAGAGAAGTCTAAATTAGGCATATTTTACAGAGAAGGTACCAATTGATGTGAATTTTAAGGGAGAGTAAAAGTTCATTAGTTGGAAGTGGTAGAGAAGACGTTCAGGGCAAAAGGAGTGGCATGAATAAAGGTAGAATGATATGAAAGTATATGACTAATTTAGAGAAGAGTTGCATTGTCTAATATGTCTGTTAGGCAGTAGTTGAAAACTAAAAGACTGTTGGTAGAACCTAACCTGCAGTTGTGTTTTACTTACCCTTGTATACTATTAGACAAAAAATGTGTCCCAAACTTTAAGAATTGGAAAATTGCCCAGTGCAATCCAGATTATAAGCCTCTTTTTGAAATATAAGAACAGGCCTGTATTCCTGCTTGGCAGCAGTCATCTGGAATTGATTAATAGCCCCTTAGATGATGTCTTAACTTGCCAGTTCGATACATTTATTTCCCCAAGACTGAATCTTCAGGGCATTTGTATGTAGCATGATGGCACCATATTTAGAAGGTGGTATCACATTTAGTAGATACATATCTTTGTTCTGTGCATATATCTTACCAGTTCAGGAAAATGCAAGTTAGAATCATGATGCCTTGAGTTTTGAGAGAAGGGAGCTAGCACACCTGGTAAAAATGAAAGTATTTCTGATTGTTAGAGTACACAAATGGGCCCGTTTCACTAATTTATGTTACTTATTGGCAGTTCAGTTTGTGGCCCCTTACACGTTGTAGGGCATAGGAAAAGAGAAAGTAGACTGAGACCTAAAGTAGTTTGGACATTATCAGGAGGCTTTTAAGTGGGGAGTGGCCTGATTAGATCTGTAATTTAGATGAGAGGGCTTTGTATTAATGTGCTTTACATACATTACGTCAGAATCGTGGCTGCTTTGTAAATAGTGAATGAGAGGGGAAGAAATCTCTTAGGTTTGGAGGAGGGTCTTGTGAAGACAATGGCAAGTCTCTTTTTATTTTCATTGGTACTTACATTAGTTTCACTGAAACTTTCATTAGTTTCATTAGTTAGAGGAATAGAGAGAGGGATTACTTGTCTGAAATTAATTCTGAATTAGGTAAAAACTAATTGGTTATGTAGAAGTAAAGAATGTGATTTTGCCACTGTCAAATCCAAGAAAGGTATTTGGGGTTTAGCCTGACAGATACTCTAGATTTTAAGAAGGCAAACTGGAGAATTAGACTGTCTCAGAAACTAAATCCACTCTAGTATATTTAAACAAACAAGCCTAATAAATGGAGAAGAGTTACTAAAAATACGTTTTTTAAGTTACTTTTTCTGTGTGTAAGGAAATCTAGGATCATAACTCAAATTTTAAAGAAGCTGTTTTGAAAACTGAAAAGAGTACAGAACAAATGTTGGGTGCAGGAGGATGAGGAACGGCCTGGACCGAAGTTGTCAGAAATGTTTCCTGTGTCTTGCCTTTACCCATAGCTAACATTTCAAATGAGTCATACTGTGCTTCCTTATTTAAATCTGAAAATGCCTCAGAATCCTCAAAATAGCATTCCAAGTAGCACTGTCCATCATCTGAGTTAGAAGTAGAGGTGAATTGTTTGCTTTCCTGGCCTTCAAGTCCTTAATAATTTTGGCAGAGTACAAAATGAGTTGAGGCTTAAAAATATCCAAAAAATATCAAAAGGAAAGTTTTTAAGGATATTACATTAGATAAGAAGAAGAGGTATTAACAGTTGACCAGTAGAGGGCAAGGAGAGCCAATATTTGGGCTAAATTAAGTAATTTTTTCTTTTTTTTAATTTTTTTTTTCAACGTTTTTATTTATTTATGGGACAGACAGAGACAGAGCATGAACGGGGGAGGGGCAGAGAGAGAGGGAGACACAGAATCGGAAACAGGCTCCAGGCTCCGAGCCTTCAGCCCAGAGCCTGACGCGGGGCTCGAACTCACGGACCGCGAGATCGTGACCTGGCTGAAGTCGGACGCTTAACCGACTGCGCCACCCAGGCGCCCCTAAGTAATTTTTTCTAAGAGAGGATTATAACCCAAGCTGGTAGGAAATTAATGTATCTCCTGACTTGAGTGAATTATGGTCTGGGTTACTTTAAAAACTTAAAGATGAGATCAGTGAGCCATTGTTGGTTATTTCTGAGTAGCTATGGAAAATAGAGAGCTACCAAAAACTGAAAGCAGACAAAATGTAATCCCAAATTTCCAAAATTTGTGATTGATTCCATGAAATACATATGAACCACATAACTTTTCTCTTACATGAAATCCCAGAATCAAATGGTATTATTAGGATGATGATTAGGGAACGTTTTGTGAATCTCAACAAGGTATTTTGGTGTGAGCTGAGAAGTTTGTGGCCTAGGCTATGAACACACACAAGGATATTTGGGATTAATTGAGTGACTGTTTCTTGCAGTTACAGGTAATGGATTTCCTTCTTCCTAATGAAGTACTTCCCCAAGATGTGCTGAATGAAAGGCTTTGTCCTTACCTTTTTTATTCATGTAAACTGTGTACTACTTTTCTGGTCAGTTTTACTGATGACTTTCTTAAACTAATAAGAGAATCTTGCCTACATTTTAGGGTAACATCACAGAAATATATTAAATGTATAGACCATTAAAATCCTGGGAAACTTGGCAAGCTAGAACAGTGAATCCAGTTTAACAAGATTTAAAGTAAATTCAAAATTCTTCCTTTAGACCTAAAAGGATTACTGTTAAGAACTACAGCATGTGAACTATATAGTCAACAGTTCAGAGCACGGCCCTCAATTGGCAGACAGGCATATGTTTAATTCTTAACTCTGAAACTCTAGCTATCTTGCCTTACGTGTGTTACTTACCTTCTCAAAGCCTAATTCTTCATCTGTTCAATGTGGGTAATAATCCATATTTCATAAAGTGGCTCAAGGAATTGAATATGACAGTACATTTGAAGTCCTTTGTAAGTGGGTGATAGGTAGCTATCAGCTGTTCCCATAGTGTAGACTCCCAGAAAAGCAAAGGTAGAGTAATCAGGACAAGGGAACTGCCATTGTTGTCCATCTTCACTCTGAGCTGTCTTCTGGGCACATTTCCCCTGCTTCTCATTTTGTGTATCATTCAGTTTTCAATGATTCTTGTAAGTTATAATACCATGTAAAGCACATAGCACAGCATCTGTTACATAGTATTCCATGAACTATTGGTTCTCTTTGGTTTATTAAAATAAGAAGGTAAGTAACTGGAAAAATTGGGAATACTTAGCCTAAATAACAGACAACCTAGGAAATAAGATGACCTCTTCAAAAATTAAGTTAGAAGTTCAGACTGCAGTCAGGATATGGAATATTAGAATGACAGCGCTTTCTAATGATTACAGGTGAGCCGATTTGGAATGGACTAGTTCAGGAAGTAGAGAACTGATACAGTGTTAGAGGATTCCAGCACTAGGTGGGGGTTCGTTCAATCCAACAACACTTGGAATTCTTTTCTGTCTTGGAATTCTAGAACCCTGGGCATTTTAAACACCTCAGTTTATCTATATAAAGGAGAATTTTGATTCTAGATCATCTCTGAATCCAGGCTAAAATTCTGTTATTTGTTCCTTCTCATTGATTTTTGGCTTTATGGAATCCTCTTACTTCACTTTAAGGTACAACTGTAACCGCTATAATGAGGATGATGCAAAGGCAGCAAGAGACGCACAGGAGGTAAGTACATTTATTTTCAGGTAACAGTTGAATGGGAATGTGTATCACATGTTTATTAGGGAATAATTTAGCAGAAATTTTCAATTCTGAAAGAGTTGTGGAAACACACCCCAGTAAATACTGCGTATCTGTGTACATTGAGAACAAAATGCCTATCAGGAAACATTCCTGTTTATAGGTTTGTTTCTTTCTTTTAAAAGATTAATCTAGTCATGTTGTGCAGTTCCAGGTTTCATTAGTTTTGCTGTTAAGGTTTTTTCACCCCAGCAAGGAGTCTAGAGAACAGTATTTGTTAAAAAGCCTTCCTGCTGTTTATGTGCATTCTCATTTCTATTTAATTCTTTTTTTTTTTTTTTTTTTTTT